TGCATAAATATTTAATATGTACAAATATTTCCTATTATGAGAGTAAACGTATATAAACTTTTTCATTTTTTAACATTGTAAGTGTTTTATATCATTATTATTATTATTATTATTATTATTGTTGTTAATAATAAATACAAATATAATAATAATAATAATAATAATAATAATAATAATAATAATAATAATAATAATAATAATAATAATTGGATGTTGTAATTCCAAAACATCCATAAAACAATCTAGAAATTTTATTTAACGTAGAAAAAAAACATAAGTGTTTCTAAAAGGTTTTTCCAGATGAGTTACATCAGACCCTCTATCCTCCAGTCAAGGCTATAGTCAATAAGCAGTGTGTGTGTGACACACAGACTGCTACTGTACACATGGGCCACTGCCCAGACAAAATGACAAATGGGCTATTCTCTGACACCACAATGAAATTTACTGCACGGAGAGGTCGAAAAAAAAATGATGAATAGCCATAATCAATGCACTGCCATTACAAAAATCACGGCAGCTTAAACCAATGGAGCCGTTTTTTGTTCATTCACATGAGGAAGGGAATCAAACACATTTAATTGCCACAAACGCACTGCATATAGAATGTCTGTAGAAATATATGGCATTGATTTTAAGAAACAAATAGCTCTCAGGTGCAAATGCATCACACAGTATGTACCTGCACATATATCATAGTGCGAGTCATTGAGAGCGTCTGCCATTAGTCGCGCAGTGCGGCAGGAAAGGAAATGAGCTCCCTTGCATTTTCAGGGACAAACAACAGCTAGTGTTTCCCTACTCATTAGTCGCAAACCACATCTAAATAAAGAATCCATAGCTTAAGTGTTTGCTCTCCCAGTTGTCTTCTTAAATGCATGAGTAATGCTGAGATCAATACGTAAAGCCCACTAGGAGAAATATGATGCGTTAATTCATCATTAACCCAAATGGGTTGGGGTTAATATGTGCTCTTTGCTTCTAAAACACATTTTCTTTCACATTTTACTTTATTGGAGAAATCTGTCGAGCTCATTCTCAAAGACGTGAATTGCTTGATGGTTTACCTTAGATGTGAAACATGGATCACAATAATCTTTTCATTTGTTGCTAATGATTGCATCTGTTCAACTCAGTCACTTAAACATTTATTATTATACACAACAATGTCTGATTCTCAAATACTTTACAATTGAACTATAGGTCACTCTACAGTTTCTAAACCCTTGTTAAACACAATCCTGGGTTATCTTGTTCATGGTTCACCTGGCTCATAAATTTAACATGGTTAACAGTTAATCTTAAGTATTAATGTGCTGGTGTTTAAACATTGTGCAATCCTAAGCACATGGTTAATATGTCATGTTAAACGTCAGTGTTTGCAGTTCAAGTGTCACTGTCTGAATGAAGAAACACTCTATACACTGTTGGCTGACTATTAAGGTAAGAATGTGATTCGTTTTTTATGTGAAATTGTGCTCCAATATATTATATTATATATTTCGTCACCTTAGAATAAGGTTCTATCTGTGTTCTGAATGATTATGAGATAATGAGCTTTAAAGTTTTTGAATTCCATAGCAAACAGAATGTGTGTAACATTTGTTTTTGTTTTTAATATAAAGTCTTAAAATGTAAACAACTTGTAAAAAAAACATCCCATAATGTAAATAAGTTCTCATTTAATAAGTATATGTCAATAATTCAATTTTGACAAAAAATGTCAGAGAGAACCTTAAAATTCTAAGGTATTTAACATTGGTTTTGCCTCAAATGTTAAATCAACTGTTCATTTACAACGCACAGTGTTTCTGTGAGATATTATTTGTTGATTGGTAAGTAATGTTCTTCAGCGCAAAATATGTTTTGTGTTTACCATGGCATTAACCCCATAATGAAAAGTACCAAATGTTCCTTTGTTGGTTAAAAGCAGCATTTAGAACAAACCTGAGGTAAAAGGTCCCAATTTTTAGATGTTAGTATCAGCAGTCTTAGTGATCTCCAAAAGCTAATTTGCTCCAAAAACAGTGACAAAATTTGCATAAAGAATTTTTTTAACACCTAAAGTTTGCAGTTCGTCACTTCCGCCAATAAATAGATCAATAATTCAACATCACCTCATACTTCCAATTCTCATCAAATCTTTCAAATCAAATGCTCTGTAGTATGTTTTTCAGGTCACACTTTACAATTAGGTTCATTAGTTAATGTTAATTAATTAAAGCATTTACTAACATGAACAAACAATGAACAATACATTTACTACTGTATTTGTTCATGTTAGTTAACGTTAGTTAATGAAAATACAGTTGTTCATTGTTAGTTCATGTTAACTCATGGTGCATTAACTAATGTTAACAATCATGGACTTGGATGTAAATAATGCATTAGTAAATGTTCAATTATGATTAATAAATGCTGTACATGTGTTGCTCATGATTAGTTCATGTTAGTAAATGCATTAACTAATGAACCTTATTGTAAAGTGTTACCATTTTTCATTTAATGCGCTTGAGCTCAACCACCCTCTCTAACAAAATGGCTGTTTCGGTAACACATTAGGTTAGGTTACAATTCATGCTATTAATTACTAGCTTGATACCTCCCTATTATTAGGTAGGGTAACCTTAACGGTTTCATGTTCAATCCACTAAAATTAGCAAAAACCTAACTCCTTAATGTTGTCCCATCGGTTGTGTGGAACTTAACATTTTTACAGTGTATTCTACCTTGCAAACTGTTGACAAGCGGCTAATTAATGGTTTATTAAGCTTTTTTTTTAAGTAAAGGAGCTACTATATGGCTTAACGTGTCTTTATGTTTCAGTTGAGATTACGTCAAACATCAAATGTTAATAAAAATGCACATTTCAAAGCAATTTATGCAACTTTCAGCAGAGTGTGTCCCATATAGTGTATTTTTTTACAGCATTTAACATTTCTCTTTATTCATTTATTTCTTTTCTTTTCGGCTTAGTCCCTTTATTAATCTGGGGTCCCCACAGTGAAATGAACCGACAACTTATCCAGCATATGTTTTACGCAGCGGATGCCCTTCCAGTTGCAACCCATCTCTGGGAAACATGCACATTTATACACTACAGACAATTTAGCCTACCTAGTTCACCTGTACTGCATGTCTTTGGACTTTTTGGGAAATCAGAGGAAACCCACATGAATGCAGGGAGAACATGCAAACTCCACACATAACTGCCAACTGACCCAGCCGAGGCTTAAACCAGCAACCTTCTTCCTGCTAGGCGACAGCACAATCTACTGAGCTACCGCGTCGCCCATTTCCCTTTTATGAAAAATTTAACAACTCCTCCTGTCCAATGCAGTGACTAATCGATACTCTCTTAAGGAAAATGGCTCTAAACTGTACTAAACTAAGCTTCATCTGTTTGCATTAACAGAACTCATTTTATAAAGCTCTATTACATTAATTTTGTTAATCAATAGTTTGTTTATATTAATAAAATATGTGTATTATTTTAATTAATATCTTCAATATTATTATATGTATTATGTATCACTGTTATTTATTAACTTATCTTTAGGACTGTATAAGGGTATAAAAACAGTAAAAAACAGTATGCACATTCTTTTGTGGCTTTAAGAAAAGATACAGTGTTTTAGAGTCATATAATATTTTTAATATTTTTGTAAACATTTTGTTATGTTTATGCATGACCCACAGTAAGATATTTTCTTTAATCTTAAATTCAATATATGCAACGGAATATAGTCACTATGCTACAAAACAGGTATAAAGTTAAACTCAAAGAAAAAAGGATTTACCTGTTGACAGAGTGCTGACAGACTGTATGGCCAGCCTGATCTCACGAGAAAACATAAGTATTTTACGTTTTGCCAGTTTAGTGACTAATTCGTACAAATTTGTACGATTTTAAAAAGGAGGCATGGCACCTAACCCCACCCTAAACCCAACCGTCATTGGAGGATGAGCAAATCGTACTAAATTGTACAAATTAGATCCTACGAAATCATACGAATTAGCCACTAAATCAAAAAGTGGTCACACTTTACAATAAGGTTTATTATTTAATGTTAATTAATGCATTTACTAACATAAACAAACAATGAACAATACATTTACTACAGCATATATTCATGTTAATAAATGTTAGATAATGAAAATACAGTTGTTAATTGTCAGTTCACGTTAACTTATGGTGCATTAACTAATGTTAACAAGCATGGACTTGAATGTTAATAATGCATTAGTAAATGTTAAATTATGATTAATAAATGCTGTACATGTGTTGTTCATGATTAGTTCATGTTAGTAAATGCATTAACTAATGAACCTTATTGTAAAGTGCTACAAAAAAGGTTACGAATCGCCATCAGATTGTGTTGGTATGGCTGATGGTTGAGCTCTAGAAAATCAGTAAAGTGTTTCAACAATTACAGATTTGCAAGAAAAAAAAAAGTGACAAAATAAAAATGTTTAACACAAAGAAACATTTAGGCATAAATAAGTTCTTTAAGATGACATTAAAATAAGAACCACCACTGTAAAGGTCCTTTAAAGTATCAACTTTATTTTTGTACAGAAAATATTGTTCATATTAAATATAAAACATGTATTGATAAACATTTGATAAAATATACACAGATTTAGTTAGGTATGGTGGGAACATGTCAAGCTATACACATAATAAGGGAGTAAAATTATTTTCCCTTGCAGACTTTTTCCACTCCTCCATAAAGTTAAATATTAACAAGACAATGTAACTTATCGATTTAGTGGTTATAAAACGGTGTAAACTATAATTATAAATATAAGCATGTTTATAAATCTATGTAAACTATAATCTCTGGGTTGTTTCCTGCATCCATAAAATGTGTTAACAACTTTAAAATCCCTTCTAAATGTTCTTAACCTATATACTTGAGTCTACAATGTATATGTTGAGAAAAAAAAAATAGCAAACTCTTGAATGAGCAGCAAGTCGATCAATAATTTACATCTACAGTACTCTTCAATGAATGTCTCAGACCAGATTTGGCTTTTGTTCTCAATGTTATATAACACAACACAATAAAAGACACATAGATAACGTTCTGGTGTACAGTTCTGCTGGATCATGCTTAAATAATTCACAATTTTGCAACCAACAAGGACACAGACAGTGAGTATACAGTACAATTAATGTTTAGGTATAATAAGAAATAAGAGACTATGAATTGAAAGTGCCCAGCTTTTGTTAAGTTTACAGGCTTAAGATGTGGTAGTCTGCGCTGTATATTTGCTATATTCATGTTTCAGAGATAGACTGAAGTTATCAATAAAAATCAGTGAAGATTATGTTAGTTTGCTTGATTATTAGATAAAAGAGATGTACAGTAGCATTGCAAAGTCTAAAATTCATCAAAATAAAATAAAATGTTTGTTGAAATGTTTTTATTTATTTAAGTTATCTATATCATATAGTACAGTGTCTGTAAGTAGACAGACAAAGTGAACAGTGTGAGACAATAGTCATTATTGTACTGTTGTCAATGCACTGATAGTATAAATTCCATTTGACTGTAGCAGTTACAGATGTCTTTATAATCCATTTGTTTTGTTTTTTCTTAATGCAAGATCATGATTAATTCTTTTTATTAATCTGAGAACAAGATAGAGTTAAACAGTTCATTGCAACTCTAATTTTCAGATTCATTTTACATGTCTGTGAATTAAAGTGGCAATATAGAAAAAATAGCTTGAGAACCCCTTTCAAAATCTGTGAAAACGTGAATACTTTTTGGAAAAACAACTACAGATGATTCAAAATGCATGCTTTGTTATTTAGTACTGCTCTGAGAAAGACTATAAAAAGCTGAATTAAAGATTGTGTATGAAAATTTATTAAAACAAGGTCATTTTTTCTCCAGAAACCATGCAAATATATCAAATTGATTCCAGTGACTAAAAAAGTGAAAAAAAATAAACAAAATAAAATGATAGGATAAGCAAATACAATTTTAAAAATGTAATTAAAAAGAAATAAGATAATCTTAATGTACTCTACACAACAAACAAAATGACATTAAGCATTTTGAACCATCATGCAAAGAATTCTTTAAAGGAATTAAAATGTTCAAGGTTTAGTACAATTATGGTTGCGAATATAAAGGAAAATGTAATTTCCTTCATCAAATACAGAGTGCAACAGTAGGGCTCTAGTCTAGAAGCAAAAGCTTCATTCATTTTCTCCACAGGTAAATTGATTTCTAATAATAATAATAACCTTTAAAGACAGACTTTTGTAAGCTTTGAGTTACAGTAGTTAAATCCATTGCTTGTATTGAACCCAAATGTGGTAGTCATGTTTAGTAGCAGAATTTGAACAGAACAAAAAAACTAAATTACTCATAAGCTTAAAAAAATATCAACCAAAAAGCTTTTTCTGCTGTAAATCAAGTTTCTAATGTCATCGTTTACTCACCCTCGATTAACAGACTTTGTTTTTTTCTGTTGAACACAAAAGAAGATATTTTGAACAATGTTGTAAGCCATTGACAACTATAGCAGGACATACAATTACTATGGAGGTCAAATACATTTAGGAGACATTTTTCAAATCCCTATGACAAAAATAAATGGAAACAATTCTTCTGCAACAAGCACAAACTTAAAATAAATGAAAATATATACATTATTTATATATAATTCTTTTCAAAATAAATATGTCTATTTTTCTGATAATTTCTATTATTTAGATTTTAGTGTTCTTCAGATGTTTATTGCTTGCTACATATTTGCAGTGTTCTCATTTAGCTGTGGTGCATTTATGGTTAGCACAACATTTGAAAGTTGTTTTGAAAAAAACAAAAAAATGCTGCTTTCATCTTTCAAAGTCCTCAGTTTAATAGAGCTGGAGTAAACATGACAGGAGCCTGAAAACCTGCTTCCTGTAAACAACCCCGGACGCCCTTCTCATGGAGATGAGCTGTGAAAGCTGCATTTAGCCACTCTGTCAGTGTTCATCCCAATAAATTACACAGCTCGCTACAGTCCAAGGGCAATATACTGAAACGTGTGAGCTCTCTGTAATATCTTCTCTCCTGCCGTTATTTTTGTCAGGGCTGACGGAGGACAGAGGATGAAGACTGTGATTGTGGTTCATGGTGGCGCGTGGAGCATCCCGGACGCATTAGCAGAATCGTCTGTGGCAGGAGTCAAGGCGGCAGCGCGGGCAGGGGATGCTGTTCTTAGGACTGGCAGAAGTGCTATTGACGCTGTAGAAACAGCTGTGAGGTGTTTAGAAGATGACCCTACATTTGATGCAGGTACAATGTAATGCACATATAATTACATAAGAATTATTTAAATTTTTTTTATTGAAATCTTGTCCAAATAAAAAAGCTATTTAATTTTTTTATATTTTTAAAGTAAAATGCATTTCTTTTTTCAAAGTTATGAATTTACTTAATAATATTAATAATGATAATATTATTAATGATAATAATTATAAAGGAAAAATACTCAAGGATAGGTTTTTGATGTTCTGTCTGGTTCCTGACTGCAATATTCTGCAATATCAGCACTTATACAGTCTCCTTACCCTTCTGTTACTCCGCACACATATAATGGCAGCAGATTAATAAACGCACTACAGTTTGTCAAATATTGCAGCTGTTAGACAACATAATGCACTTTTAAGGCTTTCTTTAAACAAGAATGTAGTTAAGATTGTAACTATGGAGTATATTTATAAGGACAGTGCCTATTTTAAATATTTACAATTTCTGAGATACAGCGTGTAACGTTAGGCATCCATCAGCCAGTCACAATAAACAGAGCAATAGACGTTGACGTTAAGCATGCACAAGATGGCGACAGAGACCACACAATATTCCCTTAGAGAAGAAAATTGGCGTATTTTCAAACTACAGCTGATCAAAACATTATAAAATTGTTGAGTGACATTCTAAGTCGATCTCTCTCTTTTTTATGTTGCAGTGCTGTATTTATACCATAGAAATTGTAGTGTATTACGTGCGAGATGGGAATTGCATATCTTTGTAGGCCTGAGTTACTCTTTGGTTGGTCATTTGTTTCTAGTGAGTCTACGGTTTTCGTTACTGCATAGTTCAGTAAAAGGAAAGAAAGAAGAAATGCTCGGATGCGTTTAACGTTTTTCCTTATGGCAAACACAAGAGTAATCTGGTAGTGTTTGCATTGCTTTGTTGCAAACTGGAAATCACAACCTCGAAAAAAACTTCTGTTTTGTTATCATTTTAGACATTACGCTAGAGAATCGTTCGAAAACTTGCCCTAGAATGACTTGGTGGTTGGTAAAGTAGCATTGGTTTCAAAGAATGGTTGAAGAAATAGTAGAAGAAAGTAGTTCCTCATACGAACAGATTTTTAGACTCTCCGTGTTTGTTTTTTATATACACGATTATGCTGTTGAACTGTTGTATAACCGCAACATTACACTTGTAGCAGTGCAATATGGCTGAATATCATTATTGTTGGAAAACTACAAATGCCTCCCAGCAGTCATAACTGAAATAAACAGAAATGGAATTAAGACATGTGGAGTATGCATATTTCAGTGGCATTATTGAAGCAATCCGCAATCAAACTATTCCAGTCATGTATCAATTTTTTACCATATTTTCTGATAAGATCCACACACATGGCTATCAGTAAAGGACCGCACACACACAACACACATTTGATTATTTTATTTAGAATGACTGATACTAATTAAAGCAACAAAGCATCAAAATAGTCGTAAAAAGCCCATGATGTTTTACAGTACAAGCAGTAAATACAACCATTAAGTTTCACACTCTCACACACACACACACACACACACACACACACACACACACACACACACACACACACACACACGCACACACACACACACACACACACACACACACACATGTGGAAGTTTTGTTCTTTCCATTTGGTGTGCGTTATTAAATTCCATTACACTCTCACCAGTCCGTACTCCTTATTTGCGCCTAATACCCCAGTTTGTCATGGAGGCATGAATAAAATGTTCATAAGTGAA